CCCACCTCTCTCTCTCTCTCTCTCTCTCTCTCTCTCTCTCTCTCTCTCTCACACACACACACACACACACACACACAATGACACAAACACACACACTTTCTCTCTCTCTCACTCACTCACTCTCATCCCCCCCCCCTCTCTCTCTCTCTCTCTCTCTCTCTCTCTCTCTCTCAAAAGAAATAAAGCACATGTAATATAAAATTTTCTGCGGCCACCAAATTCTCAAATGACTTTCCCAGAATCTAGAACCTAAATAATGTACACTAACAAAATATCTTAAACGATTTCACTGATGTGATCGGTGTTTATATGTCCTAACACAAAGCCCAAACACTATTCACACGTGCCTCAAAAGGTTGTTAAATGTATTAGCGAAACTTCAGAATGTTAACCAGTCATGTCAGATTTAGTGGGTCAAATGCACTGATGAAATTGAATCCGAAAAGTTACCCGCTAACGACCTAAATGGTATGCGTTTTACACATAAAAAGCACAAGGTTATTCTTTCATTTTTTTTTCTTCCAGGCATCAAGGTCCTCATTTGCGTCACTGCATCGCCTGACGACATCAAACATTGTCCACGTGTTTTTTCGAATTGCTCCCTCTTCAACATTTCCTTATTATTTGTTTAAAGTTAATTTCCAATTGTTAGTGGTTCGACTATGTTTTTTAGGTCTGTTAAATTCCATTTCGAAGTCATGACAGTATTTTCAGTGACTCATAGAGGAAAGTCATTGCAATTTTTTAAAGCATGGACGAAAAGAGGCATTTTTAAAATCGCTTTCTCTAACAGATTCTTACAAACTCTTCATTCTGATATCATTGCATAAGACAACATTTGCTTCACTGAAAGTGACCTTGTCGGCAACAGAACTAAAACTCCAAAAATGGCTTTTGGTCCCTCAAACAGCGCGAAGCATTAGCGTCAATTACAAGCGGAAACAAGCCGTAAAAGTGGATTTTCCTCTTCAATTAAGACACGCCTAATAATAACGCTGCCAACAAGTTAACCTAAACTATTAAACCGCGCGCGCTAGCTACTTCCACAACTTTTGAAAATCGGTCACCGTATACTCACACACAATGTGACCACTGGCGATGTAAATTCGGTTAATTTACGGGGATCACGTGTCAAATCGGTCCACCAGGGACGAGGTCAGACGGTCACCAATTATAGAGCAACGCAGGGGACAAAAACGATACCGCGGACTTGATTTTTCACTTCCGAGGAATGTTAATTAACACGCGTCCAGTTATCCGAGTGGTTTATGATGCATGCACATTGCTTTAATTATTATTGTTCGTTAACGACAGGATATCGTACATATTATGTCTTCCAAAGTAGTTCTTTTTTTGCTTTTTGGTAGATACTTTGGCTATCCTTCACGATAACCTTACCAGTTAAGTTAATTTAAATCGCTAAAAAAGTTAAACGGGGGAAATGCACTCACGGCACCCAAAAACGCCTAGCATTTCTCCGTTTACTGTCTGCGTGGGCTGTTTAAATAATTTCTCGAAATAAGTGTTTTTCTTTTTATAAACACGCAAGTATACGTAATGCTTTTTGCACCATAATATAACATTCCTATGATGTGTGGTCCGTCAAAATTTATTGATTCGTTTATATTGTAAAACCACAATTCTGCACGGAATTTCACAAGATAAATACTTGTTTCACTACTTATTACAAACAAGTATGGTCACTTCACATGCAGTCTCATAGACAGTGTCAGGGGTGCAGATTAATTGATATTGTCAATAAGATAAAAGTGAACGTACAGATTAAGACTGAACTGCTACAGAAGATTATAAATAAAACAAAACACCACACATAAATGCATACACTCACAAGCTCATACACGTAAAAATCACACGCTAGCGTGCGCGTAAACCAAACTTGCAAGCGTACAGACATCACGCTACACTTAATGCGTAAGGAGCTGCATTCACTAACAAGACACCCTCAGGTCCATTTAAGTATACATAAGCTCTATCATAATATAAGACATTTATTTTCAATATTAAAGCACGATAGGCCAGTGCCCGAACTCAGCATGGGGCCGCATATAGCCGAATATCAACACAACTATTGCGTTACACTACGCGAGTTGCAAACAATAATTCCATCCACACAGTAGAACAAAAAGAACTGAAACTCGGTATGCTTGGACACTGTATAAACCCCATTCATCTCAGGCACTTGACATTTGACTGAACCTGGAAGAAAGTAACTAAAGAGATCTTGTTACTGACTTGGGGTAAAGTACAATAGTAACACCGGGCATCTATAAAGTTCACGTTAAGTCAAACTGCTATTTCTCTGTAAATGCACTGTATATTTAAATATACTGTATATTTTAAAAAGAGCAGCTTTACTTTGGTTGTGTAATTTCATATCGCTTGCGGTATTTGATGAAAGTTTTACAATCGTTAAAATAACAACACTAAGACAAAAAATACGTATGACATTTTCATGTCATGTCACTTCACGTCAAAGCATCAAAGCTTCAGTATTCATATGACATAACATCACTCTGTAATGTCATGTCAGGTCGTGACACACCATGTCGCGGCAAACCATATGTGGCATCATATAGCATATCATGTATCAACAATGCTTCAACAAAATAACATAAAACAGTAACAACAACATGAATTTCACACATAAAAAATCCATCTTAGCACTAGAATTGTAAACATGGAAGACAATAAGCTGCTAAAGAAGAAAATATGAGGCAGAATCGATCATTGTTTATGGCAAATGATCTATTAATTATCTAAGTTCAGATTTATTAAAAAGTTGAATTCTTGCAATTATGACAAAATTTAGACTAAGATCAAATGAAGCTACGTATCATATAGTAGGGAAAACGCAACAGCAGGAAGCCAGGAACATCGTGTTTACACAGCTGCTGTAGTTAAATCAATAAAATCAGTTCATTGCGGATGACTGAGCAAAAAAAAAAAAAAATGAATAGATAGACGAATAATAATGAGTTATAATAATGGAAATTAAAAAGGGGAATGAGGTTGAAACAACATCGAAAAATCAAATATTTGATTAAAATCGATAGCTGCTTTAAAGTAGAAACAGTCTGATTGATAGGATAGAAGTAAACTAGGGTTCAAGCTTAAACAAAAATAAGACAAGAAGAAGATTTGGTAATTAAAATAATGTCTAATCAATGAACAATTTGATCGATAAGCAACTATTAACGATTGGTGGAGATTTTGCTTATGCTACGCATCGAATCAAATGTTCAACCAAAAGCACAGTTGAATCAGTTTGTAAAACATTAGAGATGAAAGTGTAGGGTTTACTCGGACTGTTCTAGCCCTAGCTGTTCTACTCGATTTGTAACATTTGTAGATTGTATCGATCTTGATTGATTATCATGAGATCGAGTAGGACATGTAGGTATACAGTGAAGGCAGTTGTAGAAAAAACAACAGAAAGGAAAAGAAAAGGCTTCGTATCTAATCAGCGTTTTGATGATTACAGAAGACAATTAAGCCAGGGCCTACAGTGTACTAATTATCCATGTTTCAGTTCTCCCATTCGATTAACGTTATATTATAATCACGATGTATTGTATTTACACTTGTTGAATCGAGTAGGAGAACGTGAATAGGAAGCTCACCGTTGGCAGATGCGCCCGTCTTAACGGACTGGAGTCTTTATCAGTTTTACTCTGCAAATCAGAAAGAATAAAACAATGCATTCTATGGTAACGATTTTTTACACGGGAATCGATCCTGTGGGATTAACCTTTGTCGTCCGGAAACTTTTCCTAAAAGCTCGTTATTGACAGGTAAATATTGTTCCTTTTACGCAATATAATTCAACGCACAGAGTAATCAGTGCGATGAAACGAAGTAAACATAGGAGATTGATGATATTCGAGAAAGTTGAGGAACTCCATTATGTCCTGTGTGATTCTGCATTGTAGAAAAAGTCCAAAGGTTGGGTCTATTACAAGCATGGACGCACAAAAGCTTGGACTGTTGCGGGAATGGATAATATCAATGTCTGTGCCTGTTTAGGCATGATATTGTCAAAAGTGACTTTTATTCCAATATACTTACTTATTTTTTATTCACGGTTAGCTAAAGTAACCTGATTGAGGACAAACGTTATTTTAAATTACTCGAGTTGAACCGAAATCGTTTTATGGGTTCTGACTACACGTGTCTCAAGAAGTAGGCCTATCAACTTTATTGGCACCCGCATTGATAATAAATTGATGTTGGTTTGTTACACATGGTATTGAGTTGCATCTTTAGCTAGAAAAACTTCCAGTAACAACGTTTTTTTCTTTCCTTTTGTACATTTCACATAAAAGTATTTCGGAGCCATTGTATGTGAACGAATCCCATTACCTATCCAATCGGGAAAAAAAGGGATTCATAGTGATGCATTATGCGCTTTAGTATTTTCTCACTGTACAAGGAACGGAATATCGAAATACTTCAAGGCCCTGTTAGAGCAAGCATGTTGGTACCCTCTACCACAGATTCTCTACCGACAGATTGATTTTCCACAGATATTCACAGATATGTATATTTATCTAGAGACATATCTGTGAATATCTGTCGCCCTGGTAGAGGGTAGCATGTTGGTACATTCCAGTCAATCTGGGCTCCGTATCTCGAAAGGTTCGCCATGTTGCGCACGTGAGCAAGTGTCTCGATTCCATGGCCCCGTATCTCGAAATAGAATCGGTTATGGAATCGAGACACTAACGCACGAGCGCAACATAGCGAACCTTTCGAGATACGGAGCCCTTAAGAAGTCAAACGTGTACCTTCACCACCTCAATACTAATGCCCCTCTGAAATACCTCCTATATGAATGTACAACTTTGTACGTGTTACTGAATGAATTGTTTGCACTTAGAAATAAATGTGTACACAATTCAATACACTGATGCTGTAAGTAGAGTCCAGAATATACTAGCGTGTGAGAATTGC